TCATGTTTTTTCCTTCTTTGCATGAATCATGAATGTTCTTAATGGCATCTAAAATGATGAATCCTTTCCATAAACTTTTCAATTTACTTTGCCCAGACCCATCAGAGGAATCACTATCTACAGCAGCTGTAGTTTTATGATATGTATTTCTTAAATAAGACTTGAAGGTTGAAATGACTCCTTGATCCAGGGGCTGCAGAATGGATGCTGTGTTAGCATCAAAACAACATTATTCTTATTGTACATCTCCATCAGAGCTCTTGGGTGAACAGATGCACTGTCAGTGAGCAGTCACATTTTGAAAAGAATCTTTAATCTGAGCAGTAGGTCTCAACAGTGAGCTTAAAATATTCAGTAAACCATGTTGTAAACAGAACTGTTGTCATCAAGGCTTTGTTGTTCCATTTATAGAGCACAGGCAAACTAGTTTTCATGTAATTAAGGGCCTTAGGATTTTCAAAAATGCAAATGAGCACTGGCTTCAACTTCAAGACATCAGTTGCATTAGCCCATAACAAAAAAGTCAGCATGTCTTTTGAAGCTTTGAAGCCAGGCAATGACGTCTCTCTGGCTATTAAAGTCCTAGATGGCATCTTCTTCCAATACAAGGCTGTTTTGTCTACATTGAAGATCTGTTGTTGAGTAGAGCCACCTTAATTAATGATCTCAGCTAGATCTCCTGGAGAACTTGCTGCAGCCTCTACATCAGCACTTGCTGCTTCACCTCCCACTTTTAGCACTTTATGTTACAGAGATGGCTTCTTTCCCTAAACCTCATGAACCAACCTCTGTTAGCTTCCAACTTTTCTTCGGTAGCTTCCTCACCCCTCTCAGCCTTTACAGAATTGAAGAGCGGTATGGCCTTGCTCTAGATTAGGCTTTGCTGTAAGGGAATACTGTAGTTGATTTGACCTTCTATCCAGACCCCTCACACTTTTTCTATATCAGCAATAAGGCTGTTTTGCTTTCTAATCATTCAGGTGTTCACTGGAGTAGCACTTTTAATTTCCTTCAAGAACTTTTCCTTTGCATTCACAACTTAGCTAACTGGCACAAGAGGTCTGGCTTTCAGTCCTCACTCAGCTTTCACCATACCTTCCCTACTAAGCTTAATCACTTCTAGCTTTTGATTTAAAATGAAAGATGTGTGCCTCTTCCTTTCACTTGAACACTTAGAGGCCATCGCAGGGTTATTAACTAGCATAATTTCAATACACTTGAGTCTCAGGGAATAGGGAGGCCTGAGGAGAGTGAGAGAGACAGGGGAACAGCCAGTCAGTGGAGCAGTAAGAACACACACAACCTTTATCAATTAAGTTTGCTGTCTTGTATGGGTGCAATTTGTGACAGCCCAAAACAATTACAATAGTAATATCAAAGATCACTGATCACCATAACAAATAAAATAATAATGAAAAGTCTGAAATATTGCGAGAATTACCAAAATGTGACACAGAGACATGGAGTGAACAAATGCTGTTGGAAAAATGGTACCAACAGACTTGACACAGGGTTGCCACAAACCTTCAACTGTAAAAAGCACAGTATCTATAAAACACAATTAAGTGAAGTGCAATAAAATAAGATATGCCTATATATTATTTGTTGTAACTCACTTTCCTTGCTTTAGATAAAGGAAACATTTATCTATTTAAATATAATCTTTAACAGTGGGTGCTTGTTTACTTTGAGGAGAAAATGCAGAGGTTAGCTTCAGGTTATTTTTAAAAAATAGTACTGGGCACCTGGGTGGCTCAGTCATTAAGCGTCTGCCTTTGGCTCAGGTCATGATCCCAGGGTCCTGGGATTGAGCCCCGCACTGGGCTCCCTGCTCAGCAGGAAGTCTGCTTCTCCCTCTCCCTCTGCCTCTCCCCCCACCTTGTACTCTCTCTCTCTCAAATAAATAATAAAATCTTAAAAAAAAATAGTACTGTATTATGTTCTTTTTTTATATCTACTTTTTTTAATGTGTCCACAAACATTTAAGTTCTACTCTTTTTTTAAAAAATATTTTATTTATTCGACAGAGAGAGACACAGCGAGAGAGGGAACACAAGCAGAGGGAGTGGGAGAGGGAGAAGCAGGCTTCCCGCTGAGCAGGGAGCTGGATGTGGGGCTCGATCCCAGGACCCTGTGATCATGACTTGAGCTGAAGGCAGACGCTTAATGACTGAGCCACCCAGGCGCCTCTAAGTTCTACTCTGTTAACAAATTTCAACTACACAATACAGTGTTATCAACTATAGTCACCATGTTGTACGTTAGATCTTAAGACCTTATTTATCTTACTGTAGGTTTTCTTAAGGGATAAACTACGGAGAACCTAGAGATCATGAAGAGTCACATTACACACAGCAGAACAAACAGTTCAAAATTTCAACTTTGTTATTTTCTTGTTCTCAAGTTGTTTTGGACTGTTCTGCCACTAAAAGTTTTTCTTGGTCCTGTCTTCTTCACACAGTATCCAATCTTCGGTCTGTCCCCTGTCATTACACTCTTCTTCCTCTTCTCTTGAGCAACACATATCCCTTCTTACCTCTTCCAATCTTTTTTTTTTAATGGCTTTTTTCATTTATGAAGTGTTTTATTATACAAAAGAATATATACAGAGTATAGGTAAGTTACAAAGTATAACAATGAAATGAACACCCATGAACCCAGCACCCAATCCAAGAGAATATGAATACTGCTGAAACTGCCTGTGTGACCATCCAGAGTCCCATTCTCTTACCTGCCCTGGAAGTTAATACTCACTTGTATTATGCTTATTAGTCATTCACATGCTTTTCTTTAAAAATTTCATCAGACATACAGGTATTCCAGAGAGATTCTATCAATATATTCTCTCATCAAAAGTGTTCTGTCCCTTCACACTCACATTTGATGGGTAATATTTTTTTAAAGCTTATAGACATCATCTTTTATTAGTCATAAAATAGCCCATCCTTCTGATGACTCAAAGGTTCCTGAGTAAACCATGTAAGCACCTTCTTCTGTAAGAAGAACTCTGCAAAACCTCAAGATGGTAAACCTAAGTATGTTCCATAAAAGAGTGCTTTGTGGTGGTGATGTAAACTGGTAAGCTTTAAAAACTTAAAGGTAGCTTGATGAAAAGGTTTCCAAAATTTAACAAACAAGTTTTTACTAGTCTACAGAAAAACCAGAAAAGGAAGAAATGTAGTGAGCTCTTTCACAGAGCTACATGGATACAATTTAAAGGACTAGCCTTTATTCTGGGATTATCCTACTTTCTTGGAATTAAAATGTCTTTTCCTTTATAAAATGATAGGAAATGGCAGGTATATTTGGTTGCTGTCCCTGTGTCCTTTTTAAAATTAAAATTGAACTTATATAGCCAAAGAAAAATTTGAAAACCCTATGTCTCATCCAAAGCTTTTGCAAATTGTACTGACCCACAAAATCCCAAAGCTTGGAAAGCATAAGCTTAGAAGTCTTTAAATTTGAGGAACTGGAAAACTTTGGTCTTAAGACTTTTAGCATCTTTCCCTATTAGTCTCCCAGAGTAAAAATGAGAAGAAATTAACAACTTCCTCCTGTCTCTACTTTTGGCATTCTTTCTTTGGTTCTCCACTGTAAGAAATACTATAATTAATGGAGGTGATGAGGAAATATGGAAATATGGAATAAAGTTAACAAATGCTTAACTCTATAAATCTCATCAGCGATTAGCTTTGTAATCTTGGGAAAACATTTTAACCACACTATATCATAGGTTCCTCTATCTGTTTATTCTTGTGCACAATAATAATAATACCTATAATCTATATCTATAGCCCATCACCTCCTGAAATAGAAGTGGTAATGTTGAGGCCAGTCTCATAACATGAATAGCGCTTTCAACTCTATGGAAGACACAAACATAACTTCAAGATATTATATACATTTACACAGGACCTTAGAGAGTGTTTTAACAAGATGTTAAAGAGAACCATCAATAACATCAACAACATCTAAGTCCAGAGTATACAAAGTATACAACCACTACAAATATTTGAGAAATACATTTCAGCTCAAAATAAAGTTGTCTAAAATGTAACAAGTAAGGAAAAAGCCCTCAATCTCATTAGTAATTAGCGAAAATTAAGACCAAAATGTGATACTATTATATACCCACCAGACTGGCTAAAATTAAAATGACTGACAAGACCAAATCTTCCAAGAATGTGCAGCAATGGGAACTGTCACATACTGCTGGAGAGACTATAAATTAGTATAACCACTTTGGAAAACAATGTGACATTATTTATTATAACTAAAGATTCACATACCCTAGAACTCAGCATTCTATTCCAGATATATACCTTAGAGAAACTACTGGACATGTGTACCAAAATACACAAATAAGAATGTTCACAGCACAACTCTTCATAACAACCCCAAACTAGAAACGATCTACATATACAGTAAAATGAATAAAGACAACATGGATTATTGAACACTATAAGATCAATGGACAAACTACAGCTATTAAACATAATACTGAGTGAAAGAAGCTACTCAGCAAGTAAAAGATACAGCATGACTCTGTCTATATAAGCTCAAAAACAGAGAAAACTATTCAGTGTGATTTGGGTGATAAACTAAAAGAGAAATCAAGAAAACCATTATCACACAACACAGGAGATCCAACGGGAGAGAGAAAGACTGTGATCTAGAGGGGATAAACAGGAGGCCTCTGAGAGCTGACAATGCCTATTCTTGACCTAAGTAGTGGTTACACAGATGTTCGCTTCATAGTTATTCTCTAAGTTGTTCATATGCCTTATACAGTCTTTTGTATAAAAGTGATATATCTCACAAAAAATTTACAAAGGGCTGCCTCTTGAGGTAGTAGCTCTCCTATCATGTGTTATTTAACCAAAGCTAAATGTTCATGTATCAGAGCTACTGCAGCAGGAATTCGAGTACTGGTAGGAATTTGAACTAGATGGCCACCAGGTTCCTGCTAATTTAGAGATTTTATGGATCTATTTCCATACCTTGTAACGATGATTTTTATGAACACTATTCTGGAAGCAGTCCATACAGAGCACACATGTTGGGTCAATTGCACAGTCCCTGAAAAAAATTAAAAATTAGATCCCAAAATTTAGAGGATGCCAATGATGTTTAAGGTATGACTATAATATAATGTGAATGAGTTTCCTGTGTGGTGCACAAGCTGAATATGAAAATGTCTCAAAAACTAAATTCCAAATAATTTTAGCCATATTTGAATATATAGGTTTGGTTTTGATTCTTAAATAATCCTCATTACTTTGAGCTTTTACCTGATTTCAGACTGCTAAGTTGCATATTAAAGTTAGTTTTGTGACAAATGATTAGCTGTTTTTTCCATTATCTGTCATCATCTTACCCTCCTGCATTTATAAACATATTTTCACAAACACTGACTGTTCACTGGTAAATGAGGCTTGAATAAAGACAAAATTCATTAGAATGTAAGCAGCATAAGGGCAGGAATGTTTCTTTATTTTGTATATTGTTATGTCCTAAGTACCTAGAACAGTGCCGGGCACATGGTAGGTATTCAGTTAATATTTATTGAATGAACAAAAAAAACTCAATCTCTCTTAATCTCTTCCCTAATAATAACTCTTAAAAGTCACTATCTTATTTAACTTTTTCAGGAAAACATTAAGAGCAACAAAAATTGGTGAAAAGTGCAAAATCAACTTTTAAAATATCTAATTTAGAAGAGTCGAAGAGATGGAACTGGCAAGTTAAAAAGTGATTTTAAAGGCTATTAGGAAATAAAGATTGCCTAACTATACTCTTGAAAATATATATGATCTACTGACCTATTTAGAGCAGAATTTCTCAACCTCAGCAGTACAGACATTCCGAACTGGGTAATTACTTATTGGGGATAGAGGAGACTGTCCCATGCTGCAGGACGCCTCAGCAGCAACCCTGTCCTCTACCCACTAGATGCTAGTACCATTGCCCCAGTTGTGACAATTTAAAATGTCTCCATGACACTTTTGGAGAAGTGAGATCTACAAATGTCTATTATGCTGTAGCTGAAACTGATTGGGCTTCAGCTAAAATATATATAAAGAAGATAAATAAACCTTACTACCTATGTAGCAAAATAGTACACAAAATACAAAAGCTGCCTTTTTTCCTGAGACAAGAACAGGATAAAGATACTATGTTCTAAACAACTGTTAACTACATGTAAACCAGGGGCGCCTGGGTGGCTCAGTCGTTAAGCGTCTGCCTTCGGCTCAGGTCATGGTCCCAGGGTCCTGGAATCAAGCCCTGCCTCGGGTCCCTGCTCGGCAGGAAGCCTGCTTCTCCCTCTCCCACTCCCCCTGCTTGGGTTCCCTCTCTCGCTGTCTCTCTGTCAAATAAATAAATAAAATCTTAAAAAAAAAAAAACCTGCTCTTACAAAGGACAAAAAGCCTATAGCTGCTTCCAGTTTCCCTACCAATGGCTTTTTCTACTGAACTGAATTTCAACTGTCCCTACAGGTCCACAATCCCCCAAATCTCACTTGGTAGCAAAAACTGACCTGAAATGACATAAGACTACAGACTTTATTTATACCACTTGCTGTGAATATTCATAGATTTCTTACAGAAATGCTATGTTTGATGATAGGATCCTGCCCTGACACTGCTGGAAAAGTGTTCAGAACTCTGAAATACACCTGGCCCTAGGGTTTCAGATAAGAGTATGTGGACTATATTATAAACAAGGCAAAAGTCCATCTCTTAAATACTTTTAGAGAACAGAAAAGTGAGACAACTGTTTAAGTCATATACTCACAAACAAGCTATATAAGCAAAAACAGATTTATAAGTGCATAATAAGAGGAAATTAAGTATGATTAAGTATATTATAAATAGTAATACACAAAATAAAATACACCATAAATAAGTACAAAATACCAAAATTGAAATTATAACCAATCCTAAAAATTTCTAATTCTTACCTACAAGAATATGTTGTCTCTCCACTTTTGAAAACCTTCCCACAGAGTTGAAATGCTCCACTGTGTTTCAATTTCTCTAAGCAAATATCTGGATCTTCTCCAAATAAGTACCATTCCAGGGGAGTGAATATGGACATTTGTATGCTCTCCTCCTGCTTTTCCAAATCTGGGTCCATTTCAGCAGAATAAATTTCTGGCACCAATTGTGCCAAATGGTGCAAGAAAGTAGTATAAAAATCAACTTGCTGATCCCACCACTGAAAGAAAAGAAAACAAAAATTAGGCTTTGTTACAAGTTTCCTCTTAAAGATGTAGGGGGATAAATATTGGCACAATTCTGTAACTTCAGAGAAAGTGATTTACAATATATTATCTTATCCCTCACCAAAACAAAAGGAAAGTGGGTAATTAAAAAAAAATAGCCTTGGAAATAAGTGGTTGCCCACATACCACATATACCTGGAAAAAGAAAGAGCAGCTGTATTGGATGAGAATTACTCATTACTCCAAGAGGAATGGGCAACTCCTGGTCTGTGAAGACAATTCTATTACCAGTCATGTGCTGTACAGACAAAGCATTCCCCAGTCTTAGTTTAATTGTTTTAAGGAACCATAACATTTACTGAGAAATAAAAATGAATGAGTGCAAAAGAGTTTTTAGAATGCCAAAAGCACTAAACATAAAAGAAAATGGGTAAATTAGACTCATCAAAAAGTACACCTAAACCCTTCTGCTCTTTAAAAGAAACTATTTCAGATGGCTTATTTGTACATGAAAACATGTTCAACATCATTAGTCATTAGAGAAATGCAAATTAAAATGACAGTGAGATACCCTTACACAACCTATTATATTAAGGTGTAGATAAAAAATAAAATATAAAACTAACAATATCAACAGGATCCAGAAAACTGGAAAAGGAAAATGCTGGTAGGAACTGAAAATGGTATAGCCACTTTACAAAAGAGTTTGGTAGTTTCCTTACAATTAAACATATACTTACCTTATGACCCAGCAATCAAACTCTTAAGAATCTACCTAAGAAATGAAAACTTATGTTCACACAAAAAAGTATACACGAATGCTATAGCAGCTTTAAACTGCCAAAACCCAGAAATAACCCAATTGTCCTTCAACTGGTGAATTAGGAACAAACTGTGTTACAGCCAAACCATGGAATACTGCTCAGCAATAAAAAAAAGTAAGTTATCAATACATGCAACATCAAAATCTATTATTGTAAAAGCAGTCTAACTCAAAAGGCTATGTATGCCTCTTAGCAATTGGGGACATGTTCATAGTGACAGCATCTGTGTGAACTGAGCAGAGCTCATCTCTGTGCCAAATTCCTGATTCCCATCATGGGGTTTCATAGACACTATATGCAGGTTTCAATAACACCACCATTCCACTCTTATCTTCAAACAAGACAGCTTTCCAAGTATCAAGAAATGCCCTGTTAAAAAAAGACATTTGGGGATTACTCATTTGGGCTTAAATGTGAGGTATGATTACCCTAAACCACCCAACCAGCCCAGCCTGACCAATTCTCGATGGCACTCAGTAACAGCAAGCTTAAATGAACAGAGGTAAGGGAAACAGAAGGTTGAATGCACAGATCTCTACTATCAACCCAACAATGGCAATTTAGTTGCACTTAACATTCTTCTAATTAAATTAATATTATTCATTTGAAATGGGCTAGCTATGGTATTTCATGTTTGTCTCACAGTTATGTAAAAACTGGCATTTATACATAGTTTTGTATTTGTTCACATTAAAGTTATATTCTAAAAAAATAATTTAAAATGTTAAAGGCTATGTACTGTATGATTCCATTTATATGACATTCTGGAAAAGGCAAAACTAGTAGCAAGACAAAGGACTGCACAGTGGTTGCCAGGGGTTTACTACAAAATAGAAGTGAGGAAACTTTTTTTTTAAGATTTTATTAATTTGAGAGAGCAGGAGTGGAGGGAGGCACAGAGGGAGAAGCAGACTCCCCTGCTAAGCAGGGAGCCCAACACGGGGCTTGATCCTAGGACCGTAGATCATGACCTGAGTCGAAAGCAGACACTTAACTGACTGAGCCACGCAAGGCGCCCCTGAAGTGAGGGAATTTTGGAGTGCAATGGAATTGTTCCATACCTGTATTATGATGATGGTTACACAACTGCTGGCAAATATCAAAACTCACAGAATTGTATAATAAAAAGTTATTTATGTAAATTTTAAAAGCAAATTTCAAAGTACATAGTTTAAGAGATAAAAAGGAGAGTCACTGGGGTGCTGGAGTGGCTCAGTCGGTGGAGCATGTGACTCCTGATCTCAGGGTTGTAAGTTTGAGCCCCATATGGGGTATAGAGATTACTTAAAAATAAAAAATCTTTAAAAAAAAAGTGATGCCAAATAGTCTCAAAATATCTCCCTGAAGATACTTATTAACTATAAGGGAAAAGGTAAAAAGTTTAAAGTAGAGAAACCCTGCAGATACCAACTTAACCAAGTGATTAACATAAGTATCACCAGTTGTAAGAATAATGATACCAAAAATCCCTGAATATGATACACTGAGAAGGCTATGGTATCACTTTTGTGTTATTTTTGCCAAAAATGCATAGCCTCATTATAATCATGAGAAAACATCAATCCAAACTGAGGAACATTCTACAAAATAATTTTTCAAAATTCTTCAAAAATGTCAAGGTCATGAAAAACAAGGCAAGAACAAGATACTGTTACAAACTTGAAAAGACTATGAAGAAAATAAGACCCTATCACAGACCAGAGGCAACAAAGGAGAAATAACTAAATGTAATGTGAGATACTAGATAGGATCCTGGAACAGAAAAATATTTAATGTCAGTGGGAAAACTACTATAATTCAAATAAGGTCTATAGTTTAGTTACTATCAATATTAATTTCCTGTCCCTGATAATTATATTATGGTTATGTAAGATGCTAACATTAGGGAATGCAGGTGTGAAGGATATAAGAGAACTGTTTCTGCTATTTTTACAACTTTTCTGTAAGTCTAAAATGAGTTCAAAATAAAAAGAAAAAAGAACCAAAACTGAAGATGATTATTTACTAATATAGAAAGCAATTAATAATATACAATTTGGTAAAGCAGGTTACGAAGCAGTATGTATAAAATCTCACTGTGGCTAAATATTTTATATGAGGGGAAAAAATCAGGAGGAATATACACCAAAATGTTAACAGCAGTAGGTAGTGAGAGTTCGGCATATTTTCACAGAATGTGTACATTTGCTTACCTAATATGAATAATAATCTTAGTGATATTTTCCATATTTGGGGGAATTTTTTAATTGTAAAATTAAAAATATTTTACTAAAACCTTAAAAAAAACCATCTATACCTTCCAGTATTCTAACTCCCAACTTTTCTAGGGTACGCACAGACCAACAACTTGTTTCCTCCACAAATCCAGCAACTGTAACTATGAAATAAAGAATACCTAATGTTCTATGGTATACCTAAGGTTCTTTTCTCCAAACAGTACTAAATAAAAAAAAAAAAATCCTGTATGTTTACTGCTATACACCAAATTAAAAATTTTTCTGTGTTATCTAATTATGGAAGGCACAGAATTAGTTCAAGTTTTTGAAGAATACTTTGAAGAACATGAGAAATCTGACAGTCACCAAAACCTAAGGGATCTTCTGGTTCAAGTCTCACATCTTATAAATGAAAAACATGAGTCACAGAGGGAAGTAAATTGTCTTTTCCAAGACTGAATAACCAATTGGCATCAGAGTCAGGAACAGAAGTTAGATATCCTAACTCCTAGAGTTCAGTGCTCATTATACTCAACCAAATGTAAGTACACAGTACTTTTAAATTTACCCTTAGACTAATCAATTTCATTTTTTTAATTTTATTTTATTATGTTATGTTAGTCATCATACATCATTAGTTTTTGATGTAGTGTTCCATGATTCATTGTTTGCGTATAACACCCAGTGCTCCATTCAATACATGCCCTCCTTAATACCCATCACCGGGCTAACCCATCCCCCCACCCCCCTCCCCTCTAAAACCCTCAGTTTGTTTCTCAGAGTCCATAGTCTCTCATGGTTCGTCTCCCCCTCTGATTTCCCCCCCTTCATTTTTCCCTTCCTACTATCTTTTTTTTAACTAATCAATTTCATTTTAATCATAAAACAAAACAAGAAACATAGTTTTGTCTTCTTTTTATTTCTTTCCTCCAAATGAAGCCTCTTCACTAACATCTGCCTAACATTCCTGTGTACTACTAAATATTCTTAAATTGTATTTTCTGTCATTACATGTCTTGGTGTGAACTTATATTTTATTCTTATTTTTTTAAAGATTTTATTTATTTATTTGATAGAGAGAGAGAGAGAGACACAGCGAGAGAGGGAACACAAGCAGGGGGAGTAGGGGAGGGAGAAGCAGGCTCCCCACTGAACAAGGAGCCCAATGTGGGACTCAATCCCAGAACCCTGGGATCATGACCTGAGCAGATGCTTAACCAACTGAGTCACCCAGGCATTCCAGTGTGAACTAATATTTTAAAATGTTATCTTTATACTGTTGGTTGATTTGGGCAGAATGTCTGGGTATTGATGCCTTAAATGCCCTCTCCAGGGATCTTACCGCTAGCTCTCCATCCTTCCATCCCCACTGGGAGTTATTCCTTAAAGTTCATCAAACTCAAGGCACTCCTCTCTGACTACTACACTGATCAGCCTAAGAAAATTTCTCTCCCCTGTAACTCCAATACAGCACTTACTGAAGGAGGTACTCATTCAGTACCAATACCTCTGATTCATTCAGTACCAATACCTCTGTCAGATAACATTAATTATCTTTATATGTGTACACCTAGCCTCTTCACCCAGACTATAAATTCCTGAAGGGAGGAACACCACCTTCCAAATTCCTGTATCACCACAGGCCCACCACAAATACTTAACAAAAGTTCTCTTGGGGCACCTCGGTGGCTCAACTGGTTAAGTGTCCGACTCTTGATTTCGGCTCAGGTCATGATCTCAGGGTTGTGGGATTCAGCCCCACATCAGGCTCTGTGCTCAGTGAGGAGTCTGCTTGAGATGCTCTTCCTCTCCCTCTGCCCCTCCCCCCTGCTCGCATGCTCTCTCTCTCTCTCTAAATAAATAAATAAATAAATAAAATCTTTAAAGAAAAAAAGTTCTCAGTCATTGCTGAATGTTATAGATTTCTTGCTAGAGAGAACAAAGCAAATACTG